GGAAACAAAAACAACAAAAAAGAGACAAGAGCTATTAACAATAATAGTAACGATAACGATAATAATCATATTAGTAACATATATATATATATACATATATACATACATACATACATACGTTTACAAGAGAGACATATATGTCTGCACAGACACACGTATATTACATGTTGCATGTGTGTACATGTAGATATATATAAGTAAATATATGTATGTATATGTTTATGTATATTTACGCATGTAAAGTCATACGTAAGGAAGAAGTTAAAACGAAAGAAACGAGAGAGAAATTTTACCTCTAAAAATGTCACACTCTTACCGAAAGAATCCTCCAGTGGAGGCCCAGGCGTCATTTGAAGAAATTGTTTCACCGTTATATGCTCCGGCGCAAACATCTTTGTGTGAAAACAAACATTCTCAAATTAGCCGTTTTGTCAACAGCTTACGACGAAAAATTTTAAAAACCCGTGCACAGCTCGCTGCTCGCTGCTTGCTGCGATGAAATGCTGCTCGCTAGTTCTCCGCCATTTGCGTCGGAAGCATAGCATCGTAGTCTTCAACACTGTAGAGACAGAATCAAAACCCGTCACGGTAGTGCCCAGCTCGCCCTAATACGTTAATTGTTGGACGGAAAGAAATATTGTGAGAAATTTATCACTTACTAGAACGCTGTTCAGCGTAACTTTTGTAATTCGAATCATTTCCAACTGACTAATTCTCGATGTTTAGCCATACGTCTTCTCTTTCGCCTTATCACAATCGATTACGAAAACAACCTCGTCAATTGTTAAGGCGGCTTAAGCAATATTCGTTGACAGAATCTGTATTTTCTTAAACAGTTGTCATACCCTACATCAGCTATTTAAGAATTTAAGTAGTTTACACATGGCAGCCGAGCTATGAACACCTCTAAACTATAGAATTAGAATAGGGTTGAAATGAAAGCCTCATTTTCTTTAGAACGAAGATAGAAAGGTGGAGACCTCCGTCGAGGGACTTTTTTCTTAATCAGTTTCGTGTTAGCTTGATAATCCAAGAACGAACTGGCAGCTGTTTATATTTTCGACGTCTCATCTTCAATTTATGGAAGAAATTTTATCTTAAAAGTGCTTTGCTTTCTACGCTTGTTAGTAACTAAAACCCATACAGACCAAAACAAACCTTCTGCAAAGAATTCTTTCTATTACAAAAAGAATTTAACTATTTAGACAAACTGCAGTTGAGTTTTTTCGCACCAGTTGCGTAATGCTTCTGTATCGTATGCACGGTGTAAACATTCTACAGCTAGTGTGAGCAAGCCACAATTGCCACAATTTCAGTCTTAGTAAAGCGGAACTAAAAAATAATACTATTGAACGCAACAAGTCTGACGTGTGATAACGACGGTTGCGGCCTTTTAGGTCGCACGGTGTAGTCTGTGGCTTCGAATTTCCTATTCGGTGTGCCGCCGTCAGGTGAGCCGGGCGGAAGCCAAATCCCTTTCAGCCTTTCTGCATGAATACAGAATGTAAATACTTAAAACATATTCAAAATAAGTCATTATCCTATGCTTTATCGCAGAAAGTAATGAAAAGACAGTAGCCTCAAACAACACTAAATCAAGGCAACTCGTTCACGTGCCCATTGTTCCTGCTTCTTCTTTATTAACGACCGACTACGTTAAAGTGTATCCATCGCATCTACTGGAAGACGTTTTTCTTACGATTCTGTCTCTTTATCACAAAGAATAATAATAAAAGACGAAGAGCATACTACGAAAATGGATTGGAGGTAATGTGAAACAAGCTCATTCTGGGATATATTGCCGAATTAACAAACGTGGGTAGGGGTTAAACGGATCGCTTTTCGGGCCAAATATTGAAGCGACAGCAGAGCAGACAAACAGGACAAGAAGTGAAGATTACGCTTACTATAATTATGTACGATAAAAATATAGAATTCAGACAAAGACTGTGCTTGTGTTACAATTTTTAGACGGAATAGCTGCCTCAAAGAAACTCTAGCTGAAATGAGAAAAGTCACAGCCGGTATGATCAGGCGATCATCAGTTGGCGGTAGGCCATGTATTTGATGAATAAATATAGCACGAGTTTTCGTTCTCCAAAGACCTTGCTCGGCGTGAGATGACTTCATTTTCCTCTTGCCGTTCTATTTTATCACAAAGAGCTTTCCAACATAGTTCGCTTTCTAATCGAACTAACGGTTTACCGCAGCATAGATATCATCAGCTCAAATAGTACACAAATATGATTCGATGTGATAGTCTTTCAATACACAGTGTAAACTATAAGGAGGCGCGTGTTGCACAATAGTCAGAGGCACCCTGCAATACACATGGGATCGTTCCCCGTATAGTTGCTTGAATATATTTAATTCATCTTTTAAGTACCGTTGATTTCACTCTGCAAAACGAATTTAGTTACTTTGCCTGACCCGTCTTCAAATCTGCTTTGCGCATCCCAGCACTTTTTGCTTTCGATCCATTTTTTTTCGTATTGTTTACGGTGGTCTTCGATCATTTGCGTTTTGTTTCATTTGCTGCTGGAGGATTTCGTCTTCCTTATGAATGCCGTGGAGTGCTTGTTAAAGCGACTCTCCTTGCTACCCTGGAAATAGCCGAGCTAAGTCGTTCCTTTCTGGATTGAAGGAGAGTTGAGAAAAGGTCCAACAGGCATCTTGCTTTCTGATGGACTGCGTAACTATTTTTGGAAAGAATGGGCATGCAATCCTGTTAATTACTAAGTAGTTTGAACGAGTATAAATAAATTTTCACTCCCTTATGTAGCGACTCCAACTCCGACTCCGATTCTTGTGCCCATCCGTTTCAGAAGCAGGAGTTCCACATCACTTTTTGTGCAAGACTCCTTCCTTCTACTACAACTGTAGATTTAATGTAGTCATGCCTTTTCGTTGGTGCAGATTTCGATTTAGCCCAACTTTTGCATAGAAACGCCGACCGCTCTTATTGGCTAACTTTAGGACTATCCCGCTGAAGATTGAACCCACTGCTGAACGCCGCAGGTGTGTACCTAGGATAATGTTGCATGCAGAGCAAAGATGAGATGATAAGCATGGATGTGAGATGATGGATGTTGCCTATAAGCAATAAGTCAAAGTGAAAAGCACGAATTAGGACCAGAATCTCATTCGTTATTGCTAAGATTCAACAAACCTCCCACCTAACACTTTTCCTCAATCATTTTATGGTAATTTATCCGATCTAAATCCTAGATCTAAAGTGCCTTTTCTCAGGTTGCCACTAAATCAGCATTGCTGATAAGATAGCCAAAAAAAGACACAAAACGCGTAGAGTGTTTAGCAGTTTAAATTCGCACAGAAATGTCAGGGTAAGATCATCGGAATAGCAAAAGCTTAAGAGTAATATAGTGTTTCGTTGCCGAACAAACGCGATTATGTTCATGGTGAATTATCCAATGCAATTTTCACGTTACAGTAATGCTGCTCTTTGAAAAGTTTTTTTCCTTCGAGATGCAGAACAGCAGTTGTTTAGCCAAAACAGTCCATTCTTCATGGAGATGCAGTAGAATACTGAGAAGAGTATGGCTATCAGTTTGACTCAGTACGTATAGAGTGTGTATCTATCGCATTTGCAGCCTACAGCATGCACACGATCGCTTATACCAATGCGTTTATCTCCTTCTTTATGAAGGACTTTCTACATTTTCTCGCGAATGGCCCAACTTGAGATCATTCACATGAGCGCGATCTGTGGACTCATAACACTGCCTTAGTAGGAAAAGAGAACTCGCACGAAAGAGTCCGGAACCTACTTTATAGTTGGAAAACCTAGGTCGAAATTTGTTTTCGTAACAAAATTTTCCAATGATGTCTTCTAACTACAAATAGAAATTCAAGTCCCTGGTGAAATAAGTTGTTCGCCTCAGGACGACTGCAATTGCAAGGAAACAAAACTGTGTGAGAACATCAATGATAACACGGTGTCCAGTTTTCTTCGTTCAGAAAAACTGGAAAGCAATGCGTGTGTTTTTCTATACACTGTATATGTGCATGCTTTATTCTTTCTTCCGCTCATGAAGATGTCTAATCCAGAAATAGACGTATAGCACGCTGAATGATGAAGGAGACATATGGCATGCTGGATGTGTGATGTTGAAGTAGTGCCAATCATTTTTTCACTTCATGGGAAAAGTGACGCTACTCTATTAGAACAGTACTGTAACTAAACGATGGAAAAACAACACACAAAACTGAGGCAAACTAATCCACTACTGGTGAGTCGTGTGCACACAAATGTATCGTAGATCCTCATACAAACGCTGGATTCGTTGAAGGGCTGAACTTACATGCAATACATGCTGACGCATTCCCTAGCTGTGGTTCACTTTTCTGAACATCTACAGCAATTTGTTCTAAAAATCAGCAAGATGTCAAAAAACTTCTCCCATTCAATAATTTTAAACTCTCAGGGTTTTCAAGGAGTGGAACTTATTAACTTGTGCCAGTGCCCAAAAGTATTGCAGTTTTGAACGACATTTCGACTGAGAATAATAACTTGTGTCAGCTGTAGGTGTTTAATAATAGATTTCGTAAGCCACCATTATTTTACGAATGACCGAATATATTTTAGCGAGCATCAGGCCCCCGTACTATTTCCGTTCATTTTGTTTCTAAGCAAGCAACATCCACGCAGGTGGGCTACTTCCCATTCACTAAAGCAGTTGGCTCAGGTCAGTTATAAACGTATCTGCCCGTCTTTACCAAACATGCAATCTAAAGTACCAAACATATTGTTGACGCTAGCAGAATTACAGAGTGTGAAAGAAGTGCTGGACATCAAAAATAACCACCTGCTCGTGGTACTAAAGGTATCCGAAAAAGAAGCCAACTAAACCAAAAAAAAACAAGTGAGATCGATTTAATGTAAAGCACAACAAGATCACAATACACAGGTCACTCAGCCTTTATGCATAAAGAATTTCTTCACTTCCAATTTCCGTCGCACCGTCTCAGCAGATTCCATTCTAAGGCGCCAAAAGGTATTTATCGGAAAGGTCTTCAAATCCACGGTAGAAAATTGTATACACGTCTTGCTGGGTTGGGTCGTTCTGCAGTGATGAATTGCACATTTCAGTTGCATTCAAAGCATAGAATGAGTCGTTGCTGTCGAATATTGCAGCACAAGCCGTCTCGTCGTCGGAAAAGTATGAAAAATCATCATGCCCATCTGCAACCATGGTTGAATCATGTAGCGATACAAAATGCAGTAGATAGGATGGAAAGCGGTGGTTCGAGCATGACCAGTTGTAACCATGGCTAATTTTCGTCTGATGGAGCAAAGCAAATAAAGCTTCCAACAAATAACCTGCATGATAGAACTGATAACGAAGACGTTTAGCACCTTAACATATTGGCCAAGGAAACAAATGAAAATCTGTTACCGGAAGCAAAGCTGGCGGCGTCGTCATACAGGCAGCTGTCCAGTCCGTAGTCCGAGATGTCGATTTCTTCATCATAACCGTCGTCAACCTGACATATTAAAATGCATTGATGGTAGTAAATCCTGTGAAGCTAAAAGGAGAATATTGTTTCACACGACAACAATTTTCCTTTGCCAGACATCCACCTTTGTCAATAAGGGACGGAGTGCTTGCTCAAGACTATCATTTTTAGGTTACAGCTTGACACTGAAGGCCTTTGAGAGAAAGCCGTTTTTGAGAAATAGTAGAGTTTCTCAGCTGAACTCGGAAGTTACACTATAACGCAATGTGTAGTTGGAAGTGTCACAATCCAAGAAAACACCGATGCACTTGAGAAATCATTTATTAATAACGCCGGCCCAGCTTCTCGATTTTCACAGTGTAACTGATGTTGGTCGCTAATTTTCAGGCAGCAGTGAAAGAAAGATCTGTTTCAAAACTTGTCAGCAGCAAAAACACTGCGTTCTCGTGAAAATTTCGCTACCGTTCATATGGCGGCAGATTTCTTTGTGGATATAACCAACTTTTGCAGATGTTGTTACGCGTAGAGGATATAGCTCTCATCATCACTAACAGTTTTCATAAAAGAAATCAGCAGTACTTTGAACAGACGGAGAAGCAGTGACTAAACGCATTGCTTTGTGTGGCAGGCCAGTGGAACGGCTCTTATGTTCGTGTTAGTTGGAGGGTTCATCATTTTTCTACAATAGGCGATAACCAGGAAAATTCGAGTTGAAGACAGAAATTTATAAGAAAACATGTTCTGTCGCTTAAGGTGCGCACATTGTACTGTTAGTTATTTGCTACCATGGTTCACGATGAAACTACACTACATTGCTGTCAGCATTTGGAAGTATTTTTTCGAGCCTATTTCTATATCCTCCATTCTCCATAGTTGTCCGCGCTATACAATAATGATGATTCATCAGAGTGATTAAAATTGAAACAACATTCAGTATCCAGTCACATTACTGGGTAATGAACTAGTTCGAAAACGGTTTTATCCGCTTTTAAATAGAGATATAGACTTTCCAGGCAAACACTCGTCTCAGGATCCCTGTAGGAAAACCAGCGGATGAAAGGAGTGTGTTTTAACAGGTCTCTTTGTCGCAAAAAGAACGGTCAAGAAAAATGAGTCAAGCATAACTTCCTCAGCCAACCAACTGGCTTGCTAACGCTTGATTCATATACGATTCAATTTTTCGCCGATCTAAAACTTTTTTGAGCCCTTTGCTTCACAAGTAGATTAGGTTTTAAGAGAGTTCTTCTATGAACATACTTCCTCTTCCCCATACGCTATTTGTAATAGGTGAGATGTGAAAGCGCAGCTATTGTTTTAGCACTTTTTTACCCAAGATCTTTGTGCAAATTTGTAACAAAGTCACCTTTCTAGAATAGTACGCTGACAGCTGACTACCTCAGAAAAGAAATCGAGTGATGTTCTTCAGATTTAGTCGAGAGATGATTAGGTGAGCCACCTCGAGGGGCTGATTGTCGTATGACCATCGATCCTGCGCTTCAAGCCACGCACGACATCCACCATTTTCGTAGAGTTCTTTGAAAAATCTGATAGCAATTATCAAGACCTAAAACAGTTGTAAACCACATTGCAATAAATGTAAATTGGAATTAGTTGGATAACGTCGTTGTTAAAGACATAGAAAAAGTGAGGGCCGATTACGTAAGTACCTTAACGTCGAAAACGGAAAAGCGGTCAAGTGTGGGAATGTGTTGCCACTAATTATATCGAGAAGGCCCTTACTAACAACTACATTTCACTTAGAAGTTATTCCTCTAATGCTAAGTGACAAGTCGAGAACGATATGAAACACTTACCATACAGCCTAACCACGTGAAAGGAGAGGTGACTGCTTCACTCAAATCTCTCGCGTTTCTCTCGACGATGTTCTTAATTGAACAATTAGCCTTTAAAGTTCTATGCAAGTGCAAGTGTCAAAGATCACCTTGAGGAACCTCATAGTCTGTTCCAAGTGGCTCATAAGCAGCATCTCGCCAATGTTCATCTTTGTGGTATGCATGTCTGATAACAACGATGCTTCAACGACAACCAACGTCGCTGACGATATTGGTGATAAATGAGATTCACCTTCATACATCTGCATGAATGACAAATGCTTTTTTTACTGATATCGGAATAGCTAGATACATTCTGAAACACTTGCAACAACAGCGTAAAGCGAAGAGATGACACATCTAAGCTCCTAATAATCACAATCGTTGTTCAGTTCAGCTGCTGAACTGTTTCGTGTAACTATGAATCGCGTCGAGAAGATGACGACAATGATATCTGAGTTTAGATTGCTTGCCTACGACATCTTTGAATCCTGCCTCACTCCTTTCACAGCACGAACGACCCTGATTTTGAACCTTTCAATGGCGACAGCAAATACATTCACAGCAGTGAATTGCCTTCATTCACCACCAGATCCAGGTAACTAAAAACGAACAAAAGAGGTGAGCATAAAACTGAGCTTTTGTCCTTGCGATTTTAGAAAGGTTTACGAAGAAAAGCATTTGCACCGGCTCGAGCCAAAAGCCGAAGGCAGAGGTGCTGTTTTTTGTTTGCGCCTACCAAAATTGTAAAAGTAAGACTTCTGTCGAGCGCGGCAGCTACATCGAACTTGGGAGGACGGCCACTTTTTCAGCATTAAATTCTATGTGGACGCCTGACAAGGAACAAAAAGCAAGAGAATCGGCAAAGGCTAACTAAATAACAGAGTCCATTCCATCAGTGAAGATGAGGTCCCGTCACGAAATATGGATGGCGCAGGCTTTGTCTTTCATCTGTCCATTCTCCATCTCGTCGACTCGTACGAGTTCCCTTCTCCTTGCATGACCACCCGCCTTCTTCGGCTGATGCATCATAAGATCATATTTACCAATTCCTACTCGCCCTTCCACGCAGACGATAAGTACGAATTGGATACATTTTACTACTAGCTGGAAGAAGTTATCGCATTGATAAGACGTATTATAAATGTGTTGTCACAGAAATCAATACCAGAAAAGGAAAGGCCAACGAAAGCAAATACAGAGTCGAAAATTTTAGATAAGGAGAAGGAAACGATAGGGGAACCGTTCTGTAGTAGTAATGTCTTTAGTACGCTTCGTCCATGAAGACTCGTTTTTCCATGGTAAAGGGAACCAACGCATTACATAATATTCTCGTGAGAGCACTAGTCATGCGGAAATTGAACATAATTTGAAAAGCAAAGGACGGTGGCTACTTGGGACAAAAATCAGTAGTCCCTTCATTCTATGGTGGGTTCGATGACTGCCTTCTTCTCGCGATGATTTGATTCAACTACAATCTGGAAAAGAACAAATATCCTCGAGCAAGAACAACACACCAGCTGTGTACGACGAGCATGAAAGAAATTCTACCCAAACGCGAGTGGTAGATTAAATAATAGCATACCATAGACGGTAGGGATACATAAAGGGTAGAAAAGCACAGTGCTAGTGGTGTCTGTCATCACGAACATGGCGCTAGCTCATTTCTGCACAGGGCCCACCAACCCTCTCACTCCTCTGGGGTCAGAAATTGGTGCCGGATTTGTCTGGGAAAAAATCACTCCCTGCATTCCAGTTGGGAACGCTGCAGCCAAGCTAGCTAAAGACGGAATCCAGAGAGAATTACTCGACCAGCATTCTACTACATTAAAGATGAAGTGAAAACGTTTAAGCAGTTACCGAAACCACACGTAAAAGTTGAAAGATCTTCGTAAGCAATGGATGCGAAGAAACGAATCGAATGTGACAATGTTGGGATGCGCACAGTAGACGTGAAGACGAATCATATACAATAAAATAAAAATAAAGAAAAATACCAAAAACAACTAGCTACTTATTCAAAGAGATAGAATTGAGCCGAATTCCTCTCGCATGCAGCAAGATCGGATCTTATCTCTATAACCACAAAAGTGTTGGTCGAAAGGAGACGGAAATTGAACCATGATCTTACTGCGACATGCCTAACACGGCTAGTAATAATTCATTGCTCTTCTCCAATAAGCAATCACGAGGCTGGTAATGAAGCATTTATAAGCACACATTAGCTGAGGTTTCGGCGGTTTAGACTTCTTCAGAACCTGGAAAGTTCAAATTGGCCTGCAATCTACCCACCCAAGTACATTTTTAACCTCAGCAGATAAAACATAACACATAAATTTGCATTCGATAGTAAACGGCTTTTCCTAAAAAAGCACTGTTTTGTTCGTTGTAAGTCTTCTGGTTAACTGGTGAAGACTAGGCGCACATTGTCAAACACAGGCGAGGAAGGTGCCCACCTAAGGTCATAGAATCAGCCTGAGGTATGGCGCTAGGTTACGCGTGATCATTTGCATTTGTTATAACCTGTTCTGACAACGAAAGAGCGGCCAAATGGTCTAAACGAAAGCAACAAAAGCAGCTCTTCCAGCACTTGTTGATTAGGAAGTTAACCCACTCTACGAAAGAAACCTATCCGACTGCTGTGCAAGCAGCTGCACCGTAAAATTTCACCTCTTCCGTGGACACCTTACGGTCATTTGTGAGCAAATGTTTCAGCAACGGCGTTATCCCTCGCCAGCTGGATGTTGAGATAACAGAGAAACATCTTAGTGATGCTACTCTCTATCGCCCATCCTCTGAAAAGGAATATAAAAGTCAATACCGAAAACTAAACAATCAATGGGTCAGCGTGGCAAGGGCTGCGGGTTTAAAATCATCGGTTATTTCGCACTTTAAAATCGGTAGACCAACATGTCCCGTCCTACACCTACTTATTAAAACACATAAGTTGGTATCACCTGATGATCATGCGTCAACCAATCCGTCATCATTTAAGGTTAGACCGATCATCAGCTGTGTAGACGAGCCAGCGGATAGAATAACCTGGTTTTTACGCCTGATACTTACCCAGTTGCTTAACCACATTCCAGCCCACCTCACAAACACCCAAATGTTCCTGGAACGTCTACGTAACGCGTCTCCCAATAACGCGTACGTGATGGAGTCTTTTGACGTTACCGCACTGTACACCAACGTATCGAATGACTCCGCAATGCAAGCCATCTTCGAACTTCTTGTTGAACATGAAGGAAGAATAAATATGCATGGCTTGTCCATCCAGCAGCTAATGGCTCTTTTAAAGGAGTGCCTAAACTGCTCGATCTTCAGATGGTCTGGGAAATATTTCGCGCAAATAAGGGGGTTGGCAATGGGACAGCGATTGGCACCAAGCCTGGCCATTGTGTTTATGTCTAAGATAGAAGCCCCTGTTCTCGATCTCCGGCCACTACTCTACTGCAGATATGTAGATGATTGTTTTGTCGTCTTCTCTACGCAGGAGGAGATGGACAAATGCTTCGAATTATTAAACGAGCAGTCCGAGTACATAAAGTCCACCCGGGAGAAACCGAGAGAAAACTGGCTTCCGTTTTTGGAT